AAATAGATGATGAAAAATATTAGATAGAGATATTGACAATATTAGATGATGAAAAATATTAGATAGAAAGATAGATATTGACAATATTAGATGATGAAAAATATTAGATAAAAAAGAGATATTGACAATATTAGATAATGAAAATATTACATAGAAATACTGATATTGTCAATATTAGATAATGAAAATATTAGATAAATATATATGAACAGACTGAAAATCTAGATAGCTATAAACGAAGTGATATCATGTATGAATAGTCAGATAAATGTCATACACATTTTTAAAATAAGCAGTATAAGAATAAGACCAATAATCGGGTTGATTTATTTTTGCTCAGTAATTAGCACTCAAATTGCTTAAATGTTTATATGTAATAAATAGAAAAGAATGACTTTTTAGTTTGACCAACCTAACAGAAAAAATACAATTCTTGAAAACAGTATGAAACAATGTATTTAGTAACGTTGATGCTACGGGTTAATTAGCAGGACTTGTATTAATAAAAGCATTATTATCTCCGAAATATTCTTACACTCTAAAAATATTTTCTGGCTTTAAATAACCTGTACAATTTTGATAAGCTGCAAAAAAGCAAATCAATCAACTAAATTTGAGTAGAATAGCTTGAGAACGAGTCGATTATGAAAAACCGTGTTGACATATAAATAGCTAAATAGGTAGGGATCTATAGGGGAGTATGGACAGATATGAAAAAAAAAAGATATAAATAGATATAGATAGATTGGTTAGCAAGATTTTTACAAAGTCTGTTTATATTTTATATGGAAATCTAAGCTAAATCTATGTATTCTGGAGAAACGTTGAGGCACTGTGTCGTTATGCACTCCAGGCTGTAACCTAGCCTTTGCTTTAATGTTTTCCTTTCCCTCAACGTAGGCACAATGTCCGCCGCTCACCTACGCGAAAGAATGAGTATCGCGATGCGAAACAAGGACCCTGGGGCATTAAGAAATGTCATTACGGAATGTGTCGCCGCCGGACTCCCTGAACTCGAAAGGGACATACATAAATGCAGAGAGACCCTTGACAATTTGCTCGGGGGTAGCGGTCAGCTGAGAACAGCATCCTCCCTTAAAGATCAACTAATCTCGGCCATACGCGACAAAGATCTCACTCAGCTGGACAATGCCATTCGAGATTGCGAGGCGGCTGCTTACCCGGAGTTGAGTACTGATCTTAGAAAAGCCAGGTATACGATGGAATCCTTGGGCGCCGGCCGAGGAGGTTAGCTTATTTTACTTATTAAAATTTTCATGCCTAAATGTTATTATGTCTGTCAATAACACTTACCTGCATCCATGACCACTGACAATACCTTTTCTCATTTAAAATACATTTTCATCGTAAAACAAAATTGCAATGCATTTCTATGGTGAAACAATTTTCAATGTATTTCTATAGTAAAAATTAGTTCCTTTGAATTTCTCCATAAATACAATTTCAATATATTTCTAAGTAGCAACGAAATATATATATATATATATATATATGTATATATATATATATATGAAAAATATAGGAAAAACAAATAAAATAAATTAATACAAATTAATAAACAAGTAAATACATTAAGTAAATAATAAACAAATTAACAAAACACGAACGCACACATAAACACAAATAAACCTAATAATAACAACCAACAATAAAGTGAACAATAATAAATAAATGGTTAACATACAACACTATAAATACGTCAAAAATTGCATCCGAATCCACAATTAATTCCACCCAATAGCCCCTAAAATAATTTGTTGCATAACCGTTACCGCCCACCAAGATAACCATTAAAACAATACAATAGACTACCCACAATGCATCAGTAACCTGTATATATAAATATTCGAGCAAAAACACAACGTATATGGCCTGAGGATTGCACATAAGCATGGAACACTGTCGCCGCTGAGTAGTGACTCCAGTGTCTACTTATATATATAGTTAAAAGTGCTCAATATCAGAGACAGAGTGTAAATAAATATAAAAGTGGACAGCAGGCCGCAGCAATTTGTTTCATACTTGAACTCAATCTTCAGACCAAGTGTATAGTCAACAAGCCATATAAAAGCCACCTAAATATAGAATTGAGAATTTTGTCCCTTGAAACGACTGAAAATTGTGAGACCGCCTGAAAAATGTGAAACCACCTTATAACAAAAAGAGCGTCCACATTAAAGTCAGGAAAAGCAATAATATTCGTGTATCGTACATATAAATGTAATGAGTATTTGATGAATCTGATGCGCTGTGTTCAGCGAAACTGAGGTTGGTCGATTTAGCGATCAGTATCTTGGCAGGGTTGATATCAGGAATATTTCTTTTAAGAATGATTAAGATTCAGTAAATGATAGAGTATTGGTACAGTAAGTGGGCAACCTTTAAAAGTAAAATAGAAACGTAATTATTCTTTAATTCCCCATTCTCCCGTTTCTGTTTTGATGCATTTTTTACACATCCTACCAGTGATATTAGTGGTTGTATAAATGTCTAATGGCAAAATATTATTGCGACTAATTATTACGAATACTGTATCAGTGGGCGTATTAAAACATTCTAACATTTCTTTATCTAAATTAACGCAGAATATCACTTGTTCATTTATTATAATTAGCAAAGAGCTTAATTACCATTTGGATTACGTTAGCTACTGTAAAAAAGACGGTGATATTTTAGGTCGATATATATATATTCTTTATTTTATTTTCATTTCACGCTGAAGTATAATCGACTGTCAGAATGAGCCTTTTTTTTTGTTTTATAGCAATAGTATATTTTTTTGAGCTAACGGATGTACTATCTGTCATCTACTGTATGGCGCATAAAGCCTCTTGATGTAGTTTCTGTAGTCGAATTGTTCAACGGTGTTGGATGATAGGCTCTAGGCGGACAAGTTCAACCTCTATACACTGTGGAAGGGTTGGCTTTTCTGTCGTTTTTTTTTTAGATGACCACGTGTTCCTAGGCTACGAGTTCCATCTACTCGGATTTCGTAATTCAAAGATTTCCTTCTCCTAGAATAGTTGCGAACTAATGCTAAAGAGCACAGTCATCCCGACTGGCGTAACGGTTAACAGCACAAAAACTAATATGCTGATAAGGGTTCAAATTTCGGTTCCGGTATTTCGTCTTCTTTTCGAACTAATGTTTTTGCGAAAGTCATTAAACTACATTTAAGTCAGTCGGCCGAACCTATAGAGTATAGGGCCACAGCATCACTGCAATAAATGGCGCTGCTGGGGTTTCCATTGCAATTACGTTTTACAGGGTTGATTTTCTAGTTTCTACTTTTAGACTAATTGTCATCCAATGCCTAGTCTGTCCCGTCTTTAATGCACAGATGGGTGATGAATCGATAGATTCATAACTTTTCCAAAGTAAGCCGAAGTGAATGCAAAAACTTCGGCCGGAAATTGAATTCGACTTATCCTACATTATTCGTCGTTTAACCGCTACACTACTCGCATATCTATATATAGGTTAAATCAAGTATTACTCTTTGCTATTGCTACAATTTAAAGTAGTTTATTACGCACACTTTAGCATATTAATGGACACAGAATGGGCGCGGCCAAGTAGACTGCATTTTCCGAAGAAATGCCATTAAGGGTCTAGCATATTACTATGACGATAATTAGATATTATTTTTAATTGAATGATGTTTTTTTCATCAGGGGAGATAACCCCAGAATCTTTACGAGAAAAGCTGAAGGTGGCATTGAAAATGAAAGACAAAAGTGGTTTTGAGAAAGCTTTGAACGACTGTATATCAGCGGGAATGCCTGAATTGGACACAGACATTCGAAAAGCAAGGGAAGCTTTCGCTTTGCAAAGCACAACGTTTAGAGGTCAGCAAAATTTTCTTCATTCTAGAGTTATATAAACTGCTTCTTTTGTATTACATTGCTACTTAGCTACAAATTTTGGTTTCAAAAATTAATCTCTTGCCATACTGTAATATTTTACATTTTCATTTTTAATATTATTCTGAACATGAGTATATTCGACCAATTATTCGGTCGCAGATCTCTCACCTTTGTCGAATCGATGACAACCTTTTGGTCGGCGGTTTATCAGTTTATGTTGTCTTGAATGTTTTCTACTGCTTTCAATCCTTCCATTGATCAGTGCGAGTGTGTCCCGGCTCAGTGGATAGGAGAATACAATAAACAGGGGCGGGTTCAGCATTTCCAAAAAGGTGGGATCTAAATATAAGCATTTATTTTTGCCATAGATGGCGATCAGTGTTTTCTTGGCAGAAGGTTCCGGGGGGAGGGGTTACGTAAGCTAGTTATCTGTTCATATACATTCGAGATAAGGAGACACAGTGGTGAACATTTACAGACAACGCGTTTCGCCTACGTGTTCAGGACAAACTTTTGTGTGAGTATAGCGTGTTGTGATTATTGATGAGAACAGCAATACATTTATTTTATCAAATCCGACAGCCAGAAGCTACATTTGTTTTAGTATTAAAGCCGTTAACATTTGAAATTAGCCTACTCCAAGTGTCTCAGTTTTTTTTTTCTATCTCTATTAGCTCGTATACCGTCGCATTATGCTACGATTGCATTTACGACGATGGATAATATTAAGTACGAGCCTGGTTAGAGGCATATTGTTCAGAATTGTGACAATATCGCATATTTTAATGCATTTTCCTCTTGGGGTCCTACGTATAAAGCCTTGTAGTGTATTAAACCATACATCATATCGATCGATTTTCTGTCAAAATAAGCGCATATTTTTTACTTCATATGTAGTTCACAAAAATATCTCATAGGCGATCTGAATATGTGAAAAATCATCCACAAAATAAGGCAGCAATAATGCTATCGTTGGAAAAAGGCGATTTAATGAAATTATATTTGCCCTTAGCTCCTAATTATAATAAAAAATGATTTATCCTAGTTTTCCCTTCGTTACTTTGCTGTCTGTTGACGTTACGTTTGTTTTAATTATCTTTGCGGACATACTAGATGTCAAGACCGCAGCAAATTTGCGTGAACAACTCAGGGCCGCCATCAAAGAAAGTGATCGTAACGCCCTGGAGAAATTGATCCTCGAATCTGAAGATACGGCATATCCTGAGCTTGGTGCAGACCTTCGTCGAGCCAGAAAAACTCTAGAAAAGCTTGGCGGAGGACGTGGAGGTTAGAATCTAGTTATTTTTTTTTTATCTTGGATTTCTTACTTGTGCACATTTATTTAACATATCACTAGTCGAATCTAAATTGTCAGCTTGTATCAAGTGAAATAACAGTTGTTTTTCTCCAAATTTCTGGGAAGATGAGAATGAATAAAAATAGTGCATACATATATATACATACATATATGGTGGAAGTCAGTTCGAGACCGAGTCGGAACATCTCTTGCAATCAAACTGTCTTAAATGTTCACACATTTCAGCTATAGTCACTTCGTCGCTGATGACATCTCTAACTGATTTTATGATCTGCAAGAGGCTTGCAGTCCACAGATTGCTGCCACATCAGTCTTCCTCTTGCAGCTTGCCTTTCTGCATGATGACTGGAAATTTGTAATTCCGCTTGCTTATCGACACACTTTATTGCAGATTGCACATTTATGATCATCACGTATGTCATACTGGTACTTGACATCACGATGACTCCGAGTCTGGATGAGAAGACCTGATTTTGAAAAGCAAATGCGGTCACATTTATCACATATAAGTGAATCCTTCGATCAGCCTCCAGGGAGAAGGTTGACGCCTCTCATACATCTGCCTTCACGTTTTTGTTGAGCATATTCTATTCTGCTGTGCTCAAAATTATTGTCACCAGTAGCAATCGGATTTTTCCATATTTGCCGATTTTATGCAAGTTCTTCCCAGGTCTCTAGATATATATGTTTCTTTTCGTGTGTGTCCTTCAGACTGTATTCAGAATACTTGCGGAGATTGCACTTCGGTCATTTTTCCTTTGTTAACTCCCTATACATAACCTGTTTAGGTATGCGTGAGTTTTCTAGGCGGACAAGGTGACCAGAGTATCTAAATTGGTATTTCATAACCATACCTACATACATGATGACTACGAATGGGTTTCATGTAATGACATCGGTTGATTGACCCTCATCTATGTGCAGTGTCAATGTTGATTTTTTGTTCTGCTAGAGACTCACTCTCTTGGGCATATATGATAAAATTGGGTGCCTCTTGCAGTAGCTGTTACACTATCATTCAGATGACTTTAGTCCACCAAATGAGGCATATTCTTTTCTATGCCCTCTCCAAATAGAAATACCGTATAACATACGTTTAATGATTTCTCTCTGTCATATTTGAATACTGCTGACTTTTTAACAAAATTTTTTTTTATTATCAGTAATGACATCGGAAGTGACTTTTGAAACTAATAAGTGACTTAAATACTTTTCTACGGAAATATAAAAAAAGATGTCACTTTTGTATCGTTTCTTTGTTAACTTTGTCAGGGCCAGAGACCCAAAGTAATATTAAATGCCTTACTACGCCAAATCGGCTTTTGTAGATCTTTACTCAATTTTCAAATGTTAGATGATTATACATAGATAGACATATACCTATTCGGACTAGTTTACTTAGTTATTACAGCCACGTCGTTTCGATTTTGTAACCTCCAGTCGTCTTCAGGTATGTCATCTTCAATAAGGTTTTGATAATTCCTAACTAAACTCTTTATTCGATCCACAGTAAGTAGCTGTTTCTCATTCTTCTATCTATAATGGAGAAGATACCGTGTCAGTTAATTTTTCTGTTAAATTCGACCTTTTTTCTTTTCCCTGTGAACCAGGGTATATGACATTCGCTGATTGAGTCAGAGATTGACATTTTTATTAAGAAAGATGATATTGGAATTAAAATGGTTAACATTCATCCTTAACTCGTACCGCGTGACCACAATAGTAACAAGTATAAGTACGCATGCGTAGAAGGCAGTGTGACAAACCTAAAGATACGTTGTGGTGAAAGTGCGGATAATTTTTGACTTATTCTCGTAGTTAAATGCATCTAATTAACTTGTGACCGTGTGTTCAATCTCCTCCTCCAGCAATGAAAGCCATATTCATTAGAAACAGCAAAAGCGGCATCACAAAGACTAATTAACTGATACGTGTTAATTACTCTAACATGGACAATGGAATTAGAACAATCAGGCCCTGTGGATTGTGTAAAGGGTTTCATGTGAAATTCCCAGAAAATTATCCAATACGACAAATATCTGAAGGAACAATGGTCAAAATGATGTAAATCATATAAGCAATCCAGTCCGAATAGATTAGAGCATAATCTTTCTCGTATTGTATACTATGTGTGTATAAATAAACTTACTTTATTAGGAGAATGAAAACCAATTTTTGTTGAATTCTTTTGTGAATGAAGAGTAACCATGAATTTATTGTCATTTATGTAAACATTTGTTATTTTGAAAGATGGATTAAATGTGTTTTATTGATTAACTTGGTTTGTTAGGGAAAAAGTCAGCGGAAAAACTTCGAGGGCGTTTGCAACTGGCGATGACACAAAAAAACAAAGTTGAATTGGAAAAAATGATTAATGAATGTGTTGCTGCTGGTATGTCTGAACTTGATGATGATATTCATCAGGCCCGAACTACGTTAGACGTTTGGAAAGGAGGAACAGGAGGTCAGTTTTTGCATGTTATATTTTTTTGAAACAAGTTTGGATTAGAAACTTTCAGTCTTAGACAAAGGCTTATATGTAAAGCGAGGTTCTGAAAACCAAATTAAGATTGGATAGTCGGAATTAGAATGGTTGAGCAAAGATTATTCAAACCAGTATCAGAATGGTTGAGCAAAGATTATTCAAACCAGTATCAGAATGGTTGAGCAAAGATTATTCAAACCAGTATCAGAATGGTTGAGCAAAGATTATTCAAACCAGTATCAGAATGGTTGAGCAAAGGCTATTCATGCCAGTATCAGAATGGATAAGCACATAGTATTTAAACCAGTATCTGAATGATTGGACAAAGGTTATTCAAACCAGTATCAGAATGGGTAAGCAAAGATTATTTAAATCAGTATCAGAATGAGTGAGCAAGGCTATTCAAAGCAGTATCAGTATTAAATTTTCCTTGCAATCGTACAAGATTTTTCTTTCCTGGATACGTAGTGTGTAAAAACTGTCTAAATGATCTGTAGACCTGAGCGCTTTCGACTAATCTAATCGCCTTACGACTGCAAGAAAAAATAATAAAAAGCTTAATCGCAGTATCTTACATTAATTGCACATCTCCGAGTTTCATGCTGTAGCAATTTTCAATTATATTTATTTTTATTCTTATATATATTTTGGGTCAACACCGGTTTTTTAAAAAAAAAAAAAAAGATTTTCTGGATCACATGAGATATATTATTGTTGGTGTGGAATATTTAGAAATTTTCTAATGATTAACTTTCAGAAGAAAAAAATATATGGAATAGTTTTATTATACTTTGGAGTGAAAACTTATATTTAGTACCGTTCGATAACTACTAAACTTGCTCATCGCGATTTTGAATTCTTCTTATTATTTTTTTGAAGCTCGTAATTTTTGGTTTTGAGTCGATAATTTTTCGTGTTAAAATAAATAAGAACATGAAAAGAATATCTCCGCTCATATCAAAAATCACTTTTTCGTTTTTGCATTGAAATGCATCGATTTTCTTTCATCTATGCATCGATTAAAATGTAGCTTTATTCTTGCCGATCGTTTTGCCTTCAGTTATTGTCTCACCCGACAACCTGCGAGACCAACTTCGAATTGCAGTGAGGAAGAAGACTATCCCAAGTCTGGAGAAAGCCATTGAAGAATGTGAAGCTGCAGGCTATCCAGAATTGGGCTCTGAGCTTAGTAGAGCCAGAGAAGCCCTGAAAAGTTTGAATGGTGAAAGAGGAGGTCAGTGTCGCTGAAAATTTCTCTGAATTTTATATGACAACCAAGTTTAGTCTCCAGTTAAAAAAGAAGTAATATATGATATCATCTTACATTTAGATAAGACTCGACATAACATGATTGGTCAAGTAGAACGATCTCTTAGGTCATGGTAGTGTAATCAGTTAGGCTTCCTGGTAGCATGACTCAGAACTAGCTCATCTCAGTTGCTACGATAACAACATTTTGGTGGTTGTGTCCTTCGGCATTCTTCAAAAATCTTTCGGTCAAGGTAACCTTCAACTGAGCTCTTTACGAATGTATATTTTTCTCATTTCGCTGTCCATATCTATGGAGATCATGTTTAAATGTTCATTTATTGCTAGTGTTTTTTTCCACTAAGTATATCTGTATTACCCGGCTCAGGGATTGAACTTTCAATTATTAAGCATCAAAATTCACTGACCAATGCTTTTAATCCTCTAGACCACTGGATAGTACGGATATAATCACTCTGGCAAAAGACTAACAATAATTGAACAATTAACCAAAATGTGCCTGAACCAAGAAAGGGTTTCAAAATAAATCCTGATAATTTGGTCAGATATTCGGAACTTTGGTCAGAAATAGGGAATTGGATCAGGCTGTAAGATACCGGAGATTTTTTTTTTTAATCTAGTACAGTAATTCATGGATTAGTGCAGCTAATTTGTATGTCGGTAACTATATAAAAAGTCAATTTTCAATTACTATGGTTAAAATGAGGAATGTTTTACCGCACTAATCGAGTATTATGTAGGCACTAGTCGAATTTTCGTATGAAATTTTTTCGCGCAATAATAGAATGCGCGTTACTCAAGTGATGCCTCTGTTTTAAATGTGCAGCAGGCTGGGCAAAGGTTAGCACCTCAGAACGAGAAATCGTCGAGCCAAGTTCGAATTTCAGCCGAATTCATTACATTTACTTTCGCGCAAATACCCCCGGGATATTTATGGATCCATCTCTTCTCCACCAGCTATGGGCTAAAAAGATAGACTTACTTGCCGTGTTTGGCAACCAGACTAGGAGAAGGATAACTCTGAATTCAAAATATGAACATATACTATATACACTATGCATACATATATATACTATGCAGCCATGGAAAGGATCACGGAGTTCACAATAACTCTATAATGTCGACGACACCGGTTTATCTTTAGAGATATGCCGGTGTTGTAACGGTTAGCGGCTCGGAATTCGAAGTCCGGTTGGGTTTGTTCTATTCCCTTTCGGAGAAATACCCTTAGAAAAGATATGAATCAAGTTTCTTCACCTCGAGTTATGGATTAAATAGTAGGGCTTATTAGACTCTCTAGTCAAAGTTACCAACCAAATAAAGTTAACTCTAAAGTCAAAATCTATGTATTGCAGGTGAAGGACACATTATGCAACCAACAAAAGGATCATGTAGCTCCACTATGACACAATAATCATGGCAGCGGTCAATCTGAGCTATGATTTTAAAAAAAATTGGACATCGATAAGTATCGTAGTTCTTTCTTGGAGCAGTATTAGACAAAAGTAGATTGTAGTAATCAACAAAGACTTTTCCCTTGGAAAATTAAATTTAAAGATTTTCTGATTTCTTAAATCGCTGCTATTGAATCACATTCCTTTTATTGTTAATATTAATATGATTTTACTTATTTATGTTTTTGGAATGCCAGGTTCAAAAACTCCAGAAAATCTGCGAAAGAAATTGACTGCTGCCGTAAGTCGTAAAGACAAAGAAGCAATTAACAGTGCTGTTACTGAATGTGTAGCGTCCGGCTTCCCGGAGTTGGACAATGATGTGATGAAGGCCAGGGATATTATGTCCGAACTGACGGATAGCCTCGGTAAAAACATAATAAGTTAACAGTCATTACTTTTATAAAAAAAAAAAATATATATATATATATATATATATATATATATATATATATATATATATATATGTCAATGTACATATGTGAATATATATATATGTATATATATATATATATATGTGAATATATATATATATGAATATATATACTATATATATGTGAATATATATCTATGTGAATATGTATATCTATATATATATATGAATATATATATATGTGAATATATATATATATATATGTGAATATGTATATATATGTATATCTATATATGTGAATATGTACATATATATATATATATATATATGTGAATATGTATATATATATATATATATATATAATATGTATATATATGTATATATGTATATATATATATGAATATGTATATATGTGAATATGTATATATATGTATATATGTGAATATGTATATATATGTATATATGTGAATATGTATATATATGTATATATGTGAATATATATATATATGTATATATGTGAATATGTATATATATATATATATATATATATATGAATATGTATATATATATATATATGTGATATGTACATATATACATATGTGTGAATATGTAAATGTGAATATGTGTATATATACATATATGTGAATATGTAAATGTGAATATGTATATATATACATATATATGAGAAATATATATATGTGAATATACATATATGTGAATATGTATATATGTGAATATATATATATCTATGTATATATATGAATATATATATATATTTCAACACATGTAATTTTATAACATACACGTTCACATATCTATTTTAATAAAAAAGAAATTTCTATAATTTAAATAACTGAATTGTTAAAAAATACTACACTTTGTCACTCATGAAGAAGTTTAATTGAGTTATTGTTTATTGTATAAGCTGAAATCTAAATTCAGCTAACGCCATCTGTCTGTCAATTATGTGGAAAACCAACAGATGGTATATACGCGAAATATTTTTTGAAAAGTCATCAACAAATCGAATTCTTAGTGAAAATCTTTTTGTATAGAGTAGCTATACACGTTAGACTATAGATAAATATAAGTTTTTCTTGCTGTGACTTTCATTTAATTGTATCTATTTAAATATACTGATATTTATGTTTTCATTAAATTATTGCCTGAAATTACCATATCTTTGCCCCAGCTGTAATATGTTAATCCCAAAATGACATCTCGTTGGTGACAGCGATATACAGACTGTTCGTCATCCTAGCTTTAAAAAATGTATGTTTTTTGTATTATTCCTTCTTAGGAGAGCAATTTCGTATGTGTCGAGAATGACATCTGGGATGTTTAATGTTGATTCAGTTGTAATCTTTACAAATAAATATTCCTCTTGTTTGCCAGCACCAAAAATGCCTGACATTCTTCGCGAACAACTGAAAGCTGCTTTGAAAGAAAAGGATCGTTTTGCTCTCGAGAAGATAATTCTTCAGTGCGAAGCGGCTGCCTTTCCCGAACTTGGTTCTGATCTGCGCAGAGCCCGAGAGGTTCTGCAAGATCTTGGAGGAGGGCGAGGAGGTCAGCATTTTACGAGTTTATTTTTTAGTATTAAGTCAAGAGAAACTGTCGTCTGGATGAGTGAATGATCACAAATCGTTGTGGGGGGGATTTGCAGAGCTTTGTAGAACACTTTTTAATAGGATGAAATCAGAGTAAGTTATCA